GAAACTACTACTAACCCAAAAAGACAAAACAGTTTTGTTATGACGTGGTGAATACTGAAGTAAGTAAGAAAGAAAAATAGTTTATTTGGTTCAAACAAACGTTTTACACAATTTAAATTACTTATTGTATTAATTATTGCAGGTATGTTAATAGGTAATACAGTTATAAAAGTTACTGTTTTGTGTAAATTGAGTAAATAAGTAGGTAGGTACTTAAAAAAATTCTCGGCGTTTTTCAGCGAAGGAACATAATTATACTAAGCGCAAGACCAGCTATAAGAATCTTAGGATGCTTTTGCTCAGCAGTGGACGTTTTTTGGTTAAAAAATAGAAAAAAAATTGTGGACTCAAAATATTGTTACTCCAAGTCCAGAGACTTCTCATTAGGATTATGGCTCAAGCCAATAACCGGCAAGGTCTGTAGTCTGTCTGTACCTATCCTTAACCCGTATAATAAGGAAGTGTGCACACTCGCGGACAATCGCGGCAGGTAGACGCGATTTCACGCTCAGCTCATCATAAAGGCATCCCGTACGCTTGAGGCATTTAGTTACACTCTTACATTGCTATGCACGGAAGTTTGAACCCTATTGCGCTGGCTTTAAGTGTTAAATTGGAATGCACTTATACAAGAATGACTAGTATGAATGGAGCAGCTGCCTACGTTTGTTTCGTAAGGAATTAGCGCTATTTGTAAAATTGTTGGAATATTTTGTGTCATAATTTAAAAGTTCCGTAAGTTCTATGCAATTAGGTACTTCAAAATCTACTTAATTTTTAGCATCGAAAATTACACGAATTTAACTGGATTTACTGGATCAGCTCTGATTTATTAGGATATTAAACAAAAAGGTGAAATATGACTGTATGAAAATAAGTTATGGTGAACTAACATTTCATAGCATTCATAACTCGATTTTAACTATTAAATTCAAATATTCAAGCCGATAGCAATCCTGAATTCATTCTTGAGTAACGATTTATTCTTGCGTGGCGTTTCACAATAGGTACGACGCGTTTACTTTATACAGTGTGCGTTTACCTTTATATTTTATAGCCCGTGAAATTCACCTTAGATTCGCATCCTCAGTCGGATTGACAACATTTTTACATTCGATTCTAGATCTTATTACTAAACACATAGAAGTTACACAAATATAAGAGGGTACCTAGATTCCGAGAACATTGTAAAGGAATCTGCGTCTTTTTTGTAAAGGCTGAACGAATTGCGATGAATAAAAAGCAGTAAGTTTGAGATTTATGAGGAATGTAAATGTTATAGTAACGGTTTACATCCAGGGTCATCCAGGTGGTAGAGTAAAAAAAGTTTCTGTAAAACAAATGGTACCTACAAATCTCTGAGTTAGCAATAGTCAAAATGGTATTGAATAGCTATTCGAGATTTCGCTAGTTTGATCCCCGTTGTCCCCTTGATTGTTTTGTGAACTCTTTCTTAAAACAAGCTTACGTTTAAACGTTTTCGTTAATGAAAACTGTAAGGAGTTGTTTCAAGTAATATGATAATATGTATGTCGTAGCATTTGAGTTTTCCTCAAAATATTTTACCGATATAAACTGACGTGCAATTAGTAGTTGTTCAAGCAGAATTTGGATAAAAATTTATAATCGCAGGTTTTTAAGGCCAAATACGAGAAGGCTTGGCATTGAAAAAGTGCATTTCAGGCGTGTAAAGCCGCGTGCAAACTATGAAAGTAGAGTAGTTGTTTAAGATTAAGAATAAGAAATTTATTTATAACATTCATACATGTCAAATATTTTTAATTTTTCTGTCATATATTTTAGAGATTCTTTATTTTCGACTAACAAATGAAGTACTTCTTCCGTAGATTATGGCTACGAATTGGGCAACTTTTACAAAGCAATTATCTTCATAATATTTACGTTAAAAGTATCGATTACCACTTTTTAAGTTCAAATATGGAGACGTATATGGGCACTAGTGATTCTCAGTCTTTTTATCGATGTTTGTGGGCTTGAACTATCGATATGGCCCTTTTTTACATGTCTTTAAAGATGCTTGTCTTTAAGGCTGATTTTTTAATCATTGAAAAACTTTTAAACGAAGAGTGAAATTTTCCTTTTGTTATAATCTCGGTATGGGAAATATGTGACAAAATATTGGTCTACATTGAATAAAATGTTTTTAATTTTGATTAGATTTTATTTTATTTTGTGAAATGTTTTGCATGTTTTGCGTGGTACATTTCTTCAGTGGTTTTGATAGTAGATATTACTGCAGTCACTTATCAGACAAGTCTGTCTACAAGGGAATTTTCAGATTTTCACGTTCGTTGTTCCTATAAAAACGTTGGTTTCAATCTGATCTGATTTATGTTTGGACTGCTAAGTAGATTAAAAGCCTATTATAACAAAACATGCCCTTACCTGTTTGATTGATGACCATGACCACTCTATCAAGAGTGTAATGACGACGAAAAAGATTTGCTCGATGGACCGAAGACCTCAAGTCGGATGAATAGAACTTATGCCCATTACCCAGTAGTAAACTGACATAGTCTGTAACAAAAACAAAACTGTCGATAACTGAAAACTATCGATAATTTCAAACACATCACTAGCCGTCAGATAAAGGCGGCACTTCACACGACAAAGTCAATATTGGCTGTTGAGATTTTTGAGCGATTGCCATGCCTTATTACTTGTTAGCCCGGCGTGCGTGAATGCGTTTGTGTTCGGTATGGAACGTGATATTCCGGTGCAACGAATGATATTTCTCATTTGGAATTATTTTACAATGCTCGTACCGATGAATGTTCGCACTAAATTCTTTAATGCACTTTTCATAGACAAATAGAGCAATTTTCTACGTACTTTCTGAAATCTATGCTCTTTATTCATAGTAGTTCAATTTTATGCGATTGTGAAATAGATTCATTATCATCATCTCGGCCATAGGACGTTCACTGCTAAACGTCGGCCACCTCCAATGCTTTCCATGTTGCCTGGTTGGTATCGGTGTGAAATAAATTAACTTTAGGATAACTACACTAATGGAACAGAAATAAAATATACCAAAAAGGAAGAAATGAAAAAAATGCACCGGAAACTGCTAAGTTGGTAGCGCGATTTGTCAGTGCTACCAACCTGATGGCTGGAAACACGCAATAGTTAGGTTAAATTCATATTTAGAAACGTTCTGAACGTTGATTGATTCGCACTATTAGTTTTAAAAGTATGTGTGAAAGGACATAAAATAAAACTGCATTAGAAAATAAAGTTTCTTAGTAAGAAGTTGAACTTAATTTTGCGCTCTTTGTGCCTTATTTTAGGAGCAATTAATATTTGATAAGAAAAACAAGTTCTAGTGCAATTTTGTGGAAAAAAACTCACCTTGTATGACTACACAATTAAAAATCTGTCTGAATTCGCAATCTGGGACTCTTACAAAAAGTAGGAACATTTTGACTTGAAAAGAGCTCTTAGAAGTTCTTTCAGCACACAATTTGACTAAATGCTGCAAGATTTTCCTGAATATAAAAGTAAGGTTTCAAAAAGCATCATCATCTTTCATATATATATTATTATGCTCAAGCTTATGTCAATAAGAAAATACTACAGCTTTAAGGTTCTCAAGTTATAAAAAGACAAAACAGGATTTTCCTAGTCCCATCCCATATAAAACATATCAAAAGGTGTCAGACATTTTACAACTGACGTTATAAACTGAAAACGACGTCGTAAATCCAGAAAGATGACGCGAAATCTCTTTATTTGAAAGCAAACACCTCTGTAATAAGTTGTTCCTAGCAAACACGGTGAAGCAGGACGATCCTTAAGTGGAAATAAACAACGCTAATTTGCTTGTACTGTAATCCCTACTTCGCTGAAGAGGCTGGAACGAGTTCCGCAATAAAATAACAATGTTAAACATCATTCGCAAATGAAATGCTTACACGCGAGTGCCCTCCAAGTAACAATACTAAGGCAATTATGCCTGAGACGTCCGCTCTCTGCGACCTCGGCCACTCGAATGAGGAACCACTCGAATAAAACAAAACTCGCTATTACCTACCCCCGCTATTGTTCCATTTTTGAAAAAATATTCTCTATTCAAACGGGCCAATGGAACGGGCGCGGCTTAGTTCGTTGATTGGCCGACGACCTCCCTTCGTTGCAAGTGGAAATAAAAAGTGCTCGGGTAAATGAGTCGCGCTGTCTCTTTCTGGCTGTTAGGTCGTTTGTATTTGTGTCCCGCTCGGTTTTTCGTGTTAATTGCAAGCATGAGAGGATGTGCAAGGGTAGTGGGACCTTGAGTGTTGCACGTGCATGGAGGCTGTGGCAACCATTCAGTCAGTATGGGGGAAGCTGTTTACAATATACTCATCGTTGAGGGCCTCGGATTGCGTTTGTTTTACCGTATTAGCGATCGACTGCAGCCATTGCTTTTTTACAGACTTTTATAACGGTTCATGATTTATATTATGAAACTCTCTATTACTTGTAATACTTACATAGTTTGTAATGCATAATGCAAAAATAAAATAATAAATTATGAAATATTTTATCGGTAATCGCATAATTCACGAACAAAAGATTTGTTACGTGCCTTCCATCTCGTTATAGTAAGCTAAATCTTGCCAAAATTCAGTACCTGTACGTACAGTTGGCACCACATTAGACTAAGATATTTTTTCAGTTTTGTTGATGTTTAAAAAAATTAGAGTTTCGGCTCTGTTGTACTGAATTAAGAATTTTTCAGTTGACATTTGCGTACTAATTAGCGTCAATTGGATAGCATAACGTGAGAGGGTGTCTGATGATGGAACTCGCATTTTCATATAGCATCAATTCAACATCTTATCATCATCATCTTATATTATCATTTAGTCCATAAATGATCAGTATTATAACTGTAACATCTATAATGCACTATTATGGAAGCAATAAAGATATTGTGTATCTTTGTGCCGTAACATGGCTGACGAGACAAAAACATTACTTTTATACTTTTTTTCCAGGAATCTGGCGGCACCTCGACCACCGAGCGAGGCCGGCAACTCCTCGCTTGAGACGTTCACAGCGCTACACAAAGAGAACTGCCACAGACTGGAGTACCTGGTGGAGCGGCAGAAGCAGCTGTGCCTGCTCTCTGATAAGATGATACAGGTAATGCTTAGGCTGTGATTATGGAATCATGCAAAATCGGCCAAGCGTATACGTTTAAGCGAATCTACATATTATATGAAGTTTTATCGGGATTGGTATTTAAATCTTTAAAGTAAGTACGTCTCCTGGGGGCAAAATTATATCCATGACAGTTTTAATTTCGATCGCTGCATACAAAAAAATAAAAACGCCGTACGCAGTGATTTCCGTATTTTAATTTTCAAGTTTGTCACTTTGTTTAGGAAGAAGTCTATCATTAGTCTCATGGAAATTACTTAGGATTTTTTGGTAACTTAAAATTCCTGATTTCTTAGCTAATAAGAAAAATTTTTAAGGCGTTCTCGAAGAACAAAAGATTCGTATACGAATTAAAATTCGAACGCTTCAAAAATACGTCCCCAGACGCAGTATTTAGGGTATTTTCACCAGATAAAATCCCATTACTAGATCCACGATTGTGATCGTTAAACGAGAACTTTATTGAGGCATCAACTCGACGTAATTAAATGCATTTTATTAACTCGAGGAAATTGATTTCGAATGACATCATTAAAATCATTGCGCTCGTAAAAGGTTTAAGTAAGTTGATTGGGTGGACTTGGTCATAAAGGACAATGTTGGAGGAATCCCAGTAATCCTATGGGATATGACGGTAGGATTATGCGTTCTGTTTTTGTAGGCATTGAAGGAAATCTCGTCAAGTGTAGAGTTTCGTAGTTATGTTTTTTAAACAATAGGCAATATTTGTTAAGTTTTGGGTCTATAAGTAGGTATATTGCTTATGATAATGTATTTTATTGATATTTTTTTTTGTTATAAGACTGTGCCATAGACAGACTACTCAGATTAATGTGTGTTATTATATCATTCCTCAGTTATTATGTATGTAGAGTCTATTATACCATGTAATAAATAAATGAATGAAAAGTTATATTAATTTTGGGAGTAATTAATTTACCTACTTTATCAGATTTTTCCTTGTATTATCTTACAATCTCGCATCCCAGACTTACAGTAATTTAGGGACGTGTGGGTAATCAGGGTCCAGTTCGGTCATATTTTAAAAGTTTCATTGCTGGCTTTCGGATGTAGACCGTGGTCAGAATTTTTGTTACGCAATTAACGTAATTTTTAGAATAGAATACAATACAATAGAATAGAATAATTGTTTATTTGCATAAAATATGGTACACAGTTGTTACAGCTAAAAAATAAGTTCACATGTTTTGCTACATAAGAAGCATGCAGGTTTGAATATTAATACACAAAAAGAAACAATTTACTTTTCATTATTAAGTTCCTGCAACTTACGAAGGCGAGTGAGCTTTACTTGTATGTGTACGTGTACACGCACAAAACGATAATGTAATGTCATTATACGTCTATCAAAACTTTTGAAAAAAACGAACAATAGCGAGCCACCACACATGTAAAGCTCACTCGCCTAAAAGACCCAAAGTAATGCGAGAGCTAAGTAACGGTTGCTCACAAGTTTTGGTACTTTTTTTTCCAGTCTAGGATGGTACTAATTACTGTCTAAAACCTTTCAGGTGCTCCAGACAGGGGCGGTCCAGGCCATCGAGGAGTGTCAGCACCAGTTCAGGCACAGCCGGTGGAACTGCAGCACCACCACCAACGCCAACTCCTCAGACATCTTTGGCGGCGTGCTGAAGTTCAGTAAGTGTTTACGGGACTAATCTTCGCGCACTATTTTCGTTCGTTCGTTCGTTTCAGCCGAAAGACGTCCACTGCTGGACAAAGGCCTCCCCCAAAGATTTCCACCTTCGTATGGCACCTCAGGCACCTCCCGCATTGGCCACGCTGATGGCCGCTGGGGCAGGAAAGTTCTTGAGTGGCGACCACGAGCCGGAAGACGGCCGAAGGTCGTACATTTTACGTAGTGCAGTGGTACACTAACCTAATCCTAGTGTCCGTGATACCCACTCGGCATGGGACACACTGAAAACCAGCGTCGTGGCCTTCCTCACCGTGGGCCACGGCATATGCTGAGTGGGGTCCCATTGCGATGGGCATCGCTGTTGCGACAAGGTGGCACTACTCAGTCCACATTCTCTTCCATTGTTAATATTTATGTGTTACCTCTGTCTTTCTTTTATAACTTACCTTTTTTGTCCATGTGTGATGTCCAAAGCAATAAATGTTTCTTTCATTCTTTCTCTAATCTTAGTAACTACTAAAATAATAACCTTCCTATCTGTGCGACCTTACTACCTCTCGTTCTCTCCACTGCAATTGCCAGGATCTTCAACTTGGCCGTTTGAAATAGGTTATGTGACTAGAACTGGGGAAAATTAAATGTCTTGGAACTCGAAGGCTTAAAAATATATTTCGAAGAATAGGTGGAGTTCGAACGAAAGAGTGCGAGTATAGCGTAGAATGTATATGAACCTCCGATGGAAAAAAGGGGTTAAAAACCTCACTATGAAGAAATCAAAAAGTTTAATATCAGCCCAAACAAAATAAACGAATTTTTTAAAATTGTAGAGAACATCTTGGAATAATAATTGTTACAAGACAGACGCCCGTATTCACAAACGATACGTGCTTAAGTGAAGCAGCAAATCGAACGCACAGCGTTGAATAGAGCTCTATGATTGGTTTGTGTGTCACCCTGTGCGTCCACGCTCACTGTGAGACCTCATAGTAATGTTTGTGAATACGGGCGTTAGTATTCGTAAATAAATCTCATGTGACTTGACTTATCCTTAGGATAGGTGTTGCTGTTGTCTATGTAATTAGTTTGTGCTATTTACATAATCATAGTTAGCACTGTTTGTTCTTAGACCGTGTAGCCCCACTTAGCGCTTCAGTGCCAGTGTTTGAAGATTTCAATGCATTTGTATGGCCTTTGTTACGCTGGAACTGAGTGCGAAGTGCAAAATTTAATAAGCCAAGAAAATTCTGTGATATTTTATTTACCTAGCTTTTTTTCTTCCAATAGATTTGTCATTTGGTTTTATCACACCTAGACTTTTGGATGGAAATAGGGAATATTGATGGACTTCTAAACATCAGTCTAACTACACTAGTATTATAAAGAGGAATCATTATTGATTGTTTGTTTGAAGGGAATAGGTTCCGAAACTACTGAATCTCAGATCATAGAAATATGATCTGAGTACTGAACCGATTTGAAAAATTCTTTCACATTATTTCTGATGAACATTGTGCTGTACGAAGTTCACCAGGTTAACTAGTTGTCAGTAAGAACGATTATCCTACTTTTTCAAACTACATATTATAAGTCCTAAAAAACACATGAAATAAACAAAATCTGTGACTGACCGGTGCTAATGCGAGCAAAACCGCGGGCTAAACTAATGCACTTTCATATTACTTGGCTAAATATGAATAGGTATACCTTAACACATACGATGCGCATTCACATATTGAAACCGAACGAAATAACATTTGGTCAAAGGGCCGCCACCACGCCACAAACCTTTGAAGTTGATCGTAAAGCTTTGTACAAATAACTCGACTTTGCCATGCCATTCAGAACTCTAAACACAGGCAGATGTGGACAGGTGTTTACTGAATACTTGGGACCAGCTGTTTAAGTATCAATCAGCGAAATAAACTGTTTACGTTACATTTGGTAATGCATAAGTACCTACCATGTGTTCCTTAGCTTAATTGTTAGTTTGATCATTATTTATTAACTAAATAGGTTATAAGACTTGCAAAACCTCAAATCAAGTAAAAATATTAAATTAAGATCATTTTTTTTCTTTATGTGACAAAATAGTTAAGCTGTGATAGCTTGTAAAAGAAAACTTAAGAATATACTAATTTGCCTGTCTGTTGTACTAATTCTAACTTTGAAAGGATTCAGTAGGTACACACTCGTACCGAGAAAATCGGATTTTCTAACTTGGACTATTGGTATTTAAGAAGAGATTTTTTCAAATAAAGCAAGTGGGACAGTTGACAATTTAATAATTGTCGGACAAGTATCTAACATTTTCAACTTTAAATATCAAGTCTAAGTAGAGGAGATATTTTAAGAACACAGAACAGAGTGGCTGTTTTTCCATTTCAATTATGATAAATGCCATTGCTATTTTTCCAAACGATTCACCAATTTGTTATCCCAATACTTTTGCTTGCCAACGATTTTTAGAACCCCCGCATCCGTTTCACATGGCTCATCTCCACTTCAAGAATTATTCAAGGAATATCTTCATGTTTGTTTATTTTCTAATGTCGGCTGCTGGCATCACGCGTGTCAGTGTTGACTGATCAGCTCAGCGTGTAAGATAAACCAGGAACGGCTGACCAGTATAACCTGACTTTTAAAGTCTTGTACAATCGATAGTTTCCAAGGAATTTCAAAAGTAATTGGTTTGGGCAGAGCTCTTTGGGAATGGTCAACCGGCGCCAGGACATTGAACTAGTGTACCGATTTTTGAAACTATTTTAGGGAGACTGAAGTTGGAGTGGGAACAGTTGTATGACGCAGTAGGTACATACTCTTTACACAAAACAAGTTTTTAAAGCTATATAATTAGTATTTAGCCAAAGCCATATAGACCGCGGTTTTGAGCGAATTCGATCTATCGAAGAAAGTAAAGTCTAACTAAATCAATTGATATTTTATTTTATAATTTTTTATACTGCACATTTGCACCGCATTGCCTTTAGGGGGAAACACCTGGATGCGACCAGCTGTTGTGGAAATCTTGTAAAGAACTTTATTCTTGACACAGTAGTTAAAATTATAAAAATAGTGTTTGCCTCGCCATCAATACGTATATTAATAACATATTCGTATTTTTTTTGTATGTTGAAGCTCTTATATTATGATGATAATTATTTCCAGAGTCCCGTGAATCAGCATTCGTGCACGCGCTGTCAGCCGCCGCGCTTGCGCACGCAGTAGCACGCGCGTGCAGTCGCGGCGAGCTCAACGAATGCTCGTGCGACGCTCGCGTTCGCAAGCGAACACCGCGCCATTGGCAGTGGGGAGGATGTTCGGAGGTAATACCAAATGCTTCTTTCTTTTGTTTCTTCATTGCTAACTCTTCTTCTGTCTATCTACCACAGAGTAACTGGAGTGTGTAATGTCATGAAGAGGTAGACAATAAATGTTTGTGTAGTGCGAGCATTCGTAAGCGAACAACACCACTGGCACAGTGAGGACATTATTTTATTATTATTTATTTAATTATGTAAAATAATTCCTCTTCAGTAAGTAAAAACCGATTTGTTTGTGACTATGAAGAACTTATGAAGTTAAATCCTAGAATCATGACTTTATACTTTAAATTATAGCGTATAAGATGGGTATTTTATTCGTCAATAATAATATTAATAAAATTAACGATTCTTTTTTACAAATTCCAGGATATAAGATACGGCGAGAAGTACAGTCGAGACTTCGTGGATTCGAAAGAAGATAAGAACTCAGATGAAGGCTTGATGAATCTGCACAACCACGAGGCTGGGCGAAGAGTAAGTTGGAAATTCATTTGTGATATCGTTTTTTCACAGCATCTTTCCACGAAACCGAAAATAGGAGTAAGTGGAGACAAGAAATTGCCCTGTAATAGTTCTTTCAAGTAGAATAGGACCACTCCTACTGTTCCAATGGCGAGTCGTAAGAGGCGAGTGTGATGATGATAAGGAAAGTTACCATCAATGAGGGTCCGACTGAAGAGAGAGACCGTTTGCATTCAGTCGCTTCTTCATCATCATTATTACAGCGAATAGTTGACAATAGTTTACAGCTGGACAAATTAAATCTCCTCTGAGAATTTTTACAACGACCAGTCCTACGATGCCCGCATCCAATTGCTTTTAACGAACTTCATCAAATCGTTGGTCCACCAAATTGCGTTTTCTAGCTTCGTTTTCGTGGCTTCCTAGTCTCTAAGTCTTTATTCCATATCTCTGCAATTTTATACTTTTGTTGTTGTCCCCAGGCGGTCCGCAGCCGAATGCAGCGCGTATGCAAGTGCCACGGCATGTCAGGCTCATGTTCAGTGCGAGTATGCTGGCGTCGCTTGCCGCAGCTGCGACTTGTAGGCGACGCGCTCGCCACCAGATATGAGGGCGCTTCGCATGTCAAGGTTGGTACTATCATAGTAGTCATACCCAACGCTGTCAGTGTTGAACTACCCTTTCGAAAGTCAGAGAAAGAGAGTCACCATTCCTAACCTTTATTCTTAGATGGGCGATATGTACTCACCACTAGATATGAGAGCGCTTCGTATTTTAAGGTTGGTATGCAAATTTTCAGTTGATGATTACGTCTCAACTAGCCCAATGCAAGCTTCTATAACTGCAGGTATTTTTTGCGCTTGTCCAGATGCATTTTTTCATGTAAAAAGGATACTAGCAATTTTCCAACTGTATTTTTGTATTAACTTTTCAGATAGTAGAACGGAAGAGAGGCAAGAACATACGGAAACTGCGACCACTTCACGCAGACATGAAGAAGCCCAACAAAACGGATTTGGTGTACTTGGAAGATTCCCCTGATTACTGCGAACCTAATGACGAGTAAGTTTTCAGACATTATGTCCATTATGGCTATGTTTCCTTTTTCACAAGCGTAAGGGAACGAACTGCAGACTGTGATGAAAATTAATCGTCATTTTGGTGTAGAATGTGCTGAGGTAAAGACTAAAAAATGTGTGTAGTAAACATTTTCAAGTAATAGATCGTACCCAATATCAAAGTATACGTCATATTTTTGCCTCTCTTAGAGAAGAGATTCATATTATGCTTTTCTTCTTTCTAGTTCTTTCTCCTCATGTTCTCTTCCACACAATTTTATATGTGCTAGTCATTAACTCGTATGTACCTATAACATAAGTAATTCGTGACACGATCTTGATATTGTCAGGAGTGCTATGCTAACTCCATTCTGTAAATGTGTCGGCATCTTCATCTACACTGGTCATCACAAAAATCGGCCCACCTACGTTTTACAGGAAAACTCATTTCTACTGACACAATCATGGTGCCCCAACAATATTGGTTTTATTTGAAAGCCCAATAAATATCCTTAAAGAAAAACACATTTAATTTCCTAATAAACGATTAACATATTATACAATAAATGTGACTTGAAAAACTTGAAAAAAGACCTCACTTTGGGCTCACCTCTGGGATCAATTAGACCAATTTTTATGGTTATAAAACCAAATAATGATCTCACGTGTCCTCTTTAACAGATGGATAGCGATTAATCCCAATTTAACAGTTTTATAGCCATAAAAGTTGGCTCAAAGTGACTCTGGATTCTTCTACAGACACATTTTCGGGGTAAAAACCTTTCCTTTAATGAAATGAAGTTTAGAACAAGGCTTTTAAATGGTAATATAGTAAAGTAATATTGGTGGGAAGTGGGGATGCATACGTTTGAAAGTGCTTGTCGCGGGAGGGTCGATTTTTGTGATGACCAGGTATATCACTAATCTCGTGTATTAATAACATTACTTGTGACTATTCCAGACTCGGCATTCTCGGCACGCGTGGTCGTACATGTAACCGTACATCAGCAGGGCTTGACGGCTGCCGGCTGCTGTGCTGCGGTCGTGGGTACCAGACGCGCGTGCGCGATCATGAGGAGAAGTGCCGCTGCAGGTGAGACCCTTTGGCCGTAAACTTGATCCTTGAGGCTTGAAATGCCTTTTTATTTAAGCAAAAGGACGTCCACTGTTAGGAAAAGGCTTTCCTCTAGCTAGAATTTCTACAGCGACCGGTTCTGTGCTGTCCGGGTTCAGGTGGTTTACGCTATCTTCACGAGATCGTCGGCAAAACACATAACAGATGGCAGTGGATTAGTGATATCTGTGGTAACTAAGTACTTGAATGGAAACTGTGACTCGGTAAGCTGACATGCTGACAGTCGATCTCATATTGACTTTTTGAAGAAAAACAAATTCATTGATGGCTTACATCTTTATCCAAAAGTATAAGACGTTTGGGCAGCGTTGCGTTTACGATGTGAAAATTCCATACTAAGGCTTTGTTGGACCATCTAACTTTGACCGTAACTATAACGATAACCGGTGTTTTTTGTATAGAGTTTGACAGATTTCTGACGTTTGTCAAAGTTAAAGTATGATGGTGCAACCCAGCCTAATTTTTAGTGTTACCTTAGGTACTTTTAACGAGGAGGTAACGATATGCGAGGAGGTCAATGACGATGGTCTTACAGGTGCTGCTGAAAGTGATCCTGTATCTACACTAATATTATAAAGAGGACAACTTTGTTTGTTTGTTTGGTTGTAATGAATAGGCTCAAAAACTACTGGACCGTTTTTAAAAATTCTTTCACCATTCGAAAGCTACATTATCCACGAGTAACATAGGCTAAATTAAATTTTGGAAAAACATAGGGTTCAGGGGTCCACGCGCGCGAAGCCGCGGGCGGAAAGCTAGTCATGTATAAAGATAAAGCCTATTTTACAAGGTTTAAATCAAATCTCGTTGTCTTTTTAGGTTCGTCTGGTGTTGTCGGGTGCACTGCGAGCTCTGCCGCTCCAAGAGAGACCACCACGTCTGCAACTAGGAGGCTACATACAACGAGACCAAATGCTTTACCATCGTTGAGATATTGTTCGATAAATGGAGGAATTTCGATAATGTTGACTAAGATCGTTTCATCCACGAAGACGCGCCCCACCATTCTTCCGCTAATGTTTGAGTGTTATCGGTACACGCTGAATTATCCATGAGTGCACACGCACACTACAATAATGACGCTTGGATTGCTCGAATCAAACTTCCCTCGACCAAAAATTGGTGGGGCGCGTCTTCGTGGATGAAACCATCTATACGACTACAGAATAGGATCCAGTAGTTTTATAACGTCTGACCTTTCTTTGACAATTTGAGTATGATATTGTCTCAAGTATGAACTTGAATAATTTTGGAACCACCAAATCTATCGCCATTTTTCATTGGTATCTTCTACTAAACTTTTGTAATGCTCTTGTTTATTAAATTCTGTTGTCGACTGTAGATGTTAGCTCTCCAATAATATTATTATGATCTTCGTATGAGACAATTTGTAAAATTAATCTTAATTTTTTGTTAAATTGACTATTCCAAGTCCAAGTCCCATAATATTAGGTAAACAACCTTAAATCTGGAATAGGAACTTTTGGAAACATATTTGGATTTATATTTGGAATTCTATTTTCAAATTGCAATCAACCTTCTTTTGTTAAATTCATTTTTGTATCTTGCCAGTATTCTTTTAGCCTTGCTTTTGTTAATTTGTCAAATAAATTATTTCTTCTATGTTTTAAATGGACTGATTTAGTTTAAGTGATTATGTATTTTCTGATAATAAGCTTTAAAGTATTTACAGTATTACCTACTAACTTATTTGTGTTTTTGATGTAAAAATTGTAAATAGCGCTTTTGTTAATACAATTTATAAATATAATATTTAAGTCTTGATGAAAGATGTTATAGATTTAAGTCTCATTAGATGGTTATTTCATTTTAATCGAATTCTCTTGTAAATAATTTGGTACTTAAATATAGCGGTTTAATTTTATTTTCTACCTCATGGACATGAATTCGTTCAAGCCATATTGATATTGTTTTATGAAACAAATATTATTTCGATGCTTTTTATATTAATTTAGTTCTAAGAATCGCTGTAAATATTTAAATGTTCTAGTAAGTTAACGTTAGTAATTTATTTAAATTAGATTGTGATAGATTTATTCCTCTTAGATGTTAGTTGATCGAAATTATGATGTAGTTTTTCATATTGGCGTAATTACAATCTCAGAACCTAGGATAAATTCTATTGCCATTTTGTAAATATTTCATAATGTCGTAATTGTAATATTTGTCTTTCATTACTGACGATAATAATTATAATAAACAGTCTTCACTGCAAAACTAAATAAGCATTGATTGAAATTGTTGTGCAAGTGATTATGACTGTCTTTATAGATATCATAATTTGATACCAAAACTATGATAATGATAACACAAAATTAAACGTACAGTCGCGGAATGAAAAGGTTCGTCACCTTAGTGTCGGTTTTCGCTTGCACTAGGTACTGTAAGAGTCAAACCTGCCAACATAACAGTACAAGAAACAGTGCTGCTAACATTTAAATAAATATGACGTATGCTAACGAATAAGGTTTTTCTTGTTTATTTTTCTATCCCATCAGTGACATATCCCATGATGACATTGACCAATTGACAATAGTTTTTTTTATTTAATCGAAATAATAATGGCAGGTTGAACCAACAAGGTTTTAGTTTATCAATCATAATATTCTTCTTGACAAGATAAATCGTCAAACAACTTTGATCTGAATAATTTTGAACTTTACTGACGAACAGTTTATTTTCTCTAACTCGAGATTATTCTGTAACTTAGTTTCAAAAGGTAATATGTGCTCGCGATTCGTTGAAGGAATCAATTTGAAAACTGACGAACCTTTTCATTCCGCGACTGTACATTAAATATTCAATTACAACCCGGTCGCGTTAACTGCGCACCAGCTGATGCCGTGACGTCACATCGGCGGTCTAGTATGGACAGGGCGAAAGTGGAGAATTATGGGGCACTAGCTTTCCGCCCGCGGCTTCGCCCGCGTGGAATTTTGTCTGTCACAGAAAAACTTTATCGCGCGCGTCCCTGTTTCAAAAACCGGGATAAAAACTATCCTATGTTCTTTCCCGGGACTCAAACTATCTCTATGCCAAATTTCATCAAAATCGGTTGCGAGGTTTAAGCGGGAAAGCGTAACAGACAGACAGACAGACAGAGTTACTTTCGCATTTATATATATATATATATATATAATATTACTACTAGCTTTCCGCCCGCGGCTTCGCCCGCGTGGAATTTTGTCTGTCACAGAAAAACTTTATCGCGCGCGTCCCTGTTTCAAAAACCGGGATAAAAACTATCCTATGTTCTTTCCCGGGACTCAAACTATCTCTATGCCAAATTTCATCAAAATCGGTTGCGAGGTTTAAGCGGGAAAGCGTAACAGACAGACAGACAGACAGAGTTACTTTCGCATTTATAATATTAGTTGGGATGGGGTAACTGGGTGCGCAGTTAGCTCGATCGTGTTATAGATAGAACCTTTCGTTTAATGTCGCATACGAAATTAAGGCGAAAGATTAAAATATTATTCTAATTAAGAAATCATGTTCTAGAATAATATAAGTTATCTGCTTGATAATAACCAAAAGATAAATTGTTTACAGAAGACAGCACATCAAGTTGAACACAGTGAATCTACTCGTAACAAGAGTTATTTTACAATAAAAATAGGTTGATGTGCTGTTAACTTTACTTGGCTAGGACACTCAGAGCGAAGACTTGTAGATTACCACTTTGAATATGAAATAGTTACTACTTGATGTAAATGGGATAAAATAAATGTATTAGAAACCATATTTTGTTTTCTTTAACCGACTTAAAAAAAGAGGAGGTTCTTCGTTCGGCTGTATTTATTTTTTGTGTAGTCCACTGAATAATCCGGTCCATTTTTGACATTAGTTTTACCATTTTTGGTAAATTAGAAAACCGGAACACATCATGTGGGCAGGCCTCCCACTAGGTGGACCTGGACCGACGGGCAGGCCTCCCACTAGGTGGATCGACGATCTGGTGAAGGTCGCGGGAGATGCCTGGATGCGGGCGGCGCAGGACCTGTCTTTGTAGAAGTCCTTGGGAGGCCTTTGTCCAGCAGTGGACGTCATTCGGCTGAAACGAACGAAATTAGAGATGGTCATGCTTCCGCAGGCGACTAAAATACCGAATTATGGTGTATAGATGACCCACACTGAACTGTCCCACCAAACTCAATGACAGGGGGGCGCTACCATCGTTCAACTATATGGTTTCCAACATGGCAAAAATCTGAACCAGCGATCCGGTATTGACGGTGGCGCCCCACTGTCAATGTCATCGACAGGACAGTCCAGTATTTTGGAACTATAGTTAGGATTTAGGTTAGGTTAGAAAAGGATTTGACAGTTCTTCAGTATTGCTAATCTAGAAAAAAATAACTAGCAAATTGAGTTTCGTTTTACGCAATTCGTGATTTTATACGAAATGGAAGTTTCGATGAAATTCATCCCGTGAAACAAAGTAAACCCAGTTTACGGTAATTATTTTCATACAATAAACCCAATGTAAAATATGCAGTCTATATCTTATTGGAAAAATCAATTAACATTAACCTTGAAAAGATAAAATCATGTCCTTTTTAGATTAAATCAAAACGTCACTTTCCACGTAAGAAAATATTTTGTTTTTATCTTTTAATAAGTGCCGCTATTATCTTTTGTATTTATCGTTATCATTGTTTAAAATTTAAAGTGATAGGTAATAAAAAAAATCAATGCAAGTCAATCTTGAAGAAATAGACTCCACTTCATGCACAACCTTTTTAGGTTTCCGTAGCCAAATGGTAAAAAACGGAACCCTTATAGATTCGTCATGTCTGTCTGTCCGTCTGTCCGTCCGTATGTCACAGCCATTTTTTTCCGAAACTATAAGAGCTATACTGTTGAAACTTGGTAGGTAGATGTATTCTGTGAACCGCATTAAGATTTTGATGCAAAAATAAAAAAATAATAATAAATATTGGGGGCTCCCCATACTTAGAACTGAAACTCAATTTTTTTTTTCTTCAAATACATACGTGTGGGGTAGGTATCTATGGATAGGTCTTCAAAAATGATATCGAGGTTTCTAAATTTTTTTTTTCCAAACCGAATAGTTTGCGTGACAGACGCTTCCAAAGTGGAAAAAAGTTGGTCCTCCCCTCTAACTTCTAAAATAAGAAAATGAAAAATCTAATAAAACATAATTATGATGTACAGTCACGGAATGAAAAGGTTCGTCAGTTTTCAAATTGATTCCTTTAACGAATCGCGAACACATATTACCTTTTGAAACTATGTTACAGAACAATCTCGAGTTAGAGAAAATAATCTTTAACTGTTCGTCAGTAAAGTTCAAAATTATTGATCAAAGTTGTTTGACGATTATCTTGTCAAGAAGATTATTATGATTGATAAACTAAAACCTTCTTGTTGGTTCAACCTGCCATTATTATTTCTATTAAATAAAAAAAACTATTGTCAATTGGTCAATGTCATCATTGCATTGCACTGATGGGATAGAAAAATAAACAAGCAAAACCTTATTCGTTAGCAAACGTCATATTTATTTAAATGTTAGCAGCACTGTTTCTTGCACTGTTATGTTGGCAGGTTTGACTCTTACAGTACCTAGTGCAAGCGAAAACCGACACTAAGGTGACGAACCTTTTCATTCTGCGACTGTACATTACTATAAAAACTACCAACGAAAATTGTTTTGAACGAGATCTAGTAATTAGTTTTTTTTTAATACCTCGTAAATCGTAAACCGCTTATTACCGCCTAATCTTTCATACAAATAATTTAAATTAAAAAAAAATATAAATCAATGGTACAGAACCCTTGGTGAGGCTGACACGCATTTGGCCGGTTTATAGTTTTCCAGAGGATTTTCCAAATGGAGAATTTGGTCTATATTCATGTTTCTACTGACGGATAAAAGGTAAAATAAAATATTTTTTGCTGTGATAATAAATACGATTTTAATGTGTTAATCTTAACTAGTTCCCAAGGGGATTTCCTATCCACGGGTAATTGGTCGGGCATTGGCTGCAAACGGCCATCCAGTATTGCATCTGCAAGTAAAAATAAAAATAGGTATAGATCATTTCATCCACGAAGACGCGCCCCACCATTTTTCTGCTAGTGTTTACTTTGAGTATTATCGGTACACGCTATTAGGTATCTATGAGTGCACACACACTATAATAATGACGCTCGGATTGCTCGGATCAAACTCCCCGCACCCCGCGCTTCCTTCGACCAAACATTAGGGGAGCGCGTCTTCGTGGATGAAACGATCTTAATCATTATTCTTATGAAATGTTGAGTAAAAAAAACTGTGCAAATACTTAAATTAATTATTCAGTTGTTTTAATTGTCCCGAAGCAGTGTTAGGGTTAAAGTAATACTAGGACGTGTAAGCCTTTTTTACAGAAAATCAATGACTTAAGACTTTTTTTATGGCGATCATAGGCCAATGACAGATCGCACGGACTGTCATGGGTCGCTCAACCTGTCATTGGCTTATGATCGCGCCAGTGATGGCGATCTTCACGCGTTGGTGTGGTTGAAGCAACACAGTTGTTGATGGCCTAGATTATTTCCATAGTAGTAGAGTTAAAATATAGGTATTTGGGACTTGTAAAATTGCTTTTTAAAAACACTTGAGTTGCAAGACACAAATTAAAAGTGGATACAAGATTATAATCAAGATTATCAGAATCTGTTAATTAGGTAAATTCCGAACAAAATGTTTTGCTTAATAACTTCTGATAGGTGCTATCAATAAATTGCACGTCTTTGGTTTTGGTATCAGGTTCGTGACAAGGTAAACAAAACACTGTCATTTGAACGTAACAGTTATCAAATAAATCTAAATACGTCAAAATACCTAGTTCCCACTTCCTAGCAACTAAATTATCTACTTTTGATTAGTTTTCAAGGTTTATGGTTCCGATGCCATGATGATGTCATGCAGGTTGTCAGTCTGACATAAGGGCTTTTAATAGTACTTAATAATATTTACAAAACTCACTGACCTCTATACACACTGGACCGGCTGTCTCAGCTAATATTGTGTGCTACGTGCTACGAGTGTACCGAGAACTATTTTTGACGTACTTACATTATATGGAGTAACCATAGGAGTAAGCGAGAATGAAAATCACTCATTTTAGTTCCATGGACACACGTATCTGTACAGCCTACAGTATGGCCTACAGCGCCAAAATGGCGAAAATCAAATGGGCACAAAAATATTATGACAGCAGCCAGTCCAGTGTGTATAGAGTTCAGTGACAAAACCACAATCCTTTTGGTTTTACGCCACGAAATACAAAAACAATAATCCAAATTAATTAATTACAGAAAACCAAATATTTTGCCGCGTGTCGCGCCATGCAGTGCAATGCAGCGCCATCTAAAAGCGGCCATTTATAAACAGACAAAATGCTCAAATGTCGGGCCGCATAGAAGCTACGCTGCACTGCACTGCATGTTACTGTGTCACCCAAATACGAAACACGTCTTACAAAATAACTGAAATAATATTTTGACATGGTGACACTCCATGACTTGTAGTGTAGCACTACCTTTAGCAGCCCTTTAAAAGTAGAAAATAGTTAACTTACTTCAGTATGGTCAGCGGTCAGAGGCCCACAAACAGCTTGACGGCAGGTGGTGGGTTGGTTCAAGTTGCAAGCCTTCTGGCTGTACTCATTTACAGGAACGGGGTTCTTTACCCAGTCCACCACATCTTTGGTATTCACCTGAGGAAATAATACCAGTAACTTTATTAATTTCTATGGTCTGTACATTTTCACGTTAGTGAGAGTCTCTGCAAAATCAGACCTCAATAGTAGTTGCATACGGTAAAAGATTCCCTAAAGGGGGCCCTTTCTAACACCCGTATTCACAAACGATGCTTGCTTAAGTGAAGCAGCAAATCGAATGCACAGCGTTGAATAGAGCTCAGTGATTGATTCGTGTGTCACCCTGTGCCTCTATGCGCACTGTGAGACCTCATAGTAATGTTTGTGAATACTAGCGTAAAACTCTAGAGCCTAGGGATCCAACTTACTAAGTGATACATAGTTTAACCCACGGATTAAGTGATGGATCACATATTATAATTATATCCACTCAAAACATTTGAATTTACTTTTTTTAAATATAGTTAATTAGCTTTCCGCCCGCGGCTTCGCTCGCGTGGAATTTTGTCTACGACAGAAAAAGATTAACGCGCGCGTCCCTGTTCCAAAAATCTTATATCCTTTCCCGGGACTCAAACTATCTCTATGCCTTTAATTAAAATCGGTTCAGTGATTTTTTTTTATTCACAACGAGGAAGCTCTTGACCTGTATCTCACCTGATGGTAAGTGACGATCAGGCCGAAGGTGGAAGCGAGCTTCACCCAAAACCGAGATTTAGGCGTGAAAGAGACACAGACAAACAGAGTAAATGCGAAATATTAGGTATATATAATTTCTTACCATAAACACATCAGGAATATTATTGATCACGTCCAGGAACCTGATCAAGGCGCGTTCGACCGCCGGGTTGGCTCGGACGTACCACTCGTGGACGAAGAAGCCGAAGGGCGAGCGGTTGCCGAAGTAGTGGCTCTCGAAGTTCCGTGTGATGAATTGGAACCAGGCGTCTTCGTCGTTCATTGGAGGACTAAAATAGAAGAAAATATGAGTCACAATTTTATTTAACTGGGAGTTGAGATGTATCAGTAGGTCAATAAAATATTCGTCGAATCTGTGGGGAACTCACATAACATTTATAATATTTACATACAAACACATTATATATTTATAGTACATTACATAAATTATGATAATATCAATAGCATTATAATATATTTACAAACACACTTGATAAACAGTAACATAAATACACTACACATATATTTTAATAACAAACATAAATAAATACCTAATACATATTATATTCTAAATAAATAACTTACACAAACAAATAGACTACGCGTATTGTGTTAGATATTGCATATTTACGGCGCGCGGCTCGTCGGAGAACCGGTTTGCTATTCCACCGCTACTTACATGCGCAGGCCGCCCAGCGCGCCAGTCACGACTTTTGCTATCTACGCGAGACCCGTGCGGCTCGCGACGACCGCTAACTGATAACGTAGTACGAACTGTGTAACGATCTTTTTATTCGATCAATCTTACTTTATACTTGTGTCACATAATATAACTGAAGTGCTCTGTTTCTCCTTCGTAAATTGATTGTGGAAAGTAATAAATAATTTCGTTTGAAACGAACGGACTTCATCATTTGTTCAACGAACAACATACCCACAACTGGTGACCCCGACTCAAGCATCCTAGATGAGCGATCAAGAATATCTCGACGCAAGTATTATAACGACGGAACAAGATAAAATGGAGGACGCAACTACCCCCCAACAAAATTATACGTTACCAGCACCTGAAACATTTCGAGTTGGCGTGAGAATACCCCCGTTTTGGCCTGAAAAACCCTCAATATGGTTTTCACAAATCGAAGGTCAGTTTGCGATGGCGAGAATTACCGACGACAACACGAAATATTACTACGTACTTTCGCACCTCGATCGTCAATTCGCTGTTGAAGTTGAAGACATCATCACTTCACCACCGAGTAGCGGAAAATACGAAAAGATAAAATCTGAGTTAATCAAGAGGCTATCTACGTCCAGTGAAAGGAAAGTGAAGCAACTTTTGCAATCGGAAGAGCTTGGTGATCGCAAGCCCTCGCAGTTCCTGCGACATCTGCAGCATTTGGCCGGCCCTAACATACCGGAAGACTTTCTTCGCACAATTTGGACGAGCCGATTACCAAACAACCTGCAAACAGTGATTGCATCACAAATGAGCCTGTCTCTCAACGAACTGGCAGACCTAGCTGACAGAGTGCATGACATCGCGCCATCATCACCGCAGGTAGCAGCCACCAGCGCTACGAGTACGCAGTCCGCATTAGAAATGATGGCACGGAGCATAGCGGAACTAACAAAGCAGGTCAGCTCTTTAAGTGCAGATGTTCACGGCCGTTCCCGCCCTCGTAACCGGCAGTCAAACCAGCAGAATCGACAGCGGACTCCATCAACGCGTTCCCAGTCCAACTATAGAAAGTTCCCACAATGTTGGTACCACTTCAAGTTCGGCAGTCAAGCTAAGAAGTGCGTGAAGCCATGCGACTACAAATCGGGAAACGCTCAGGGCAATCTGTAATGGCGGCTGAAGATTGCCTACCCTCCACTGGTCGCCTCTTCGTAACGGACCGCAGATCGAAAGTTCAATTTCTCGTTGACACCGGAAGCGATTTATGCGTCTACCCTCGTTCTGCACTCCGTGATCGTCGTGAGAAGACCAACTACCAACTGTGCGCGGCTAACGGTTCGACTATAGATACGTATGGTTATGTACAATTTAATATCAATTTAGGCCTTCGTAGGGACTTTAATTGGAAATTTGTAGTAGCTGACGTAACTAAAGCGATTATTGGTGTTGATTTTTTGTCGTATTTTAATTTACTCGTTGACATACGTAATAAACGAATAATTGATGGTACAACTAATTTAACTACTGTAGCGTGTATTGTTAATAATAATAACTCAATACCTAGTGTAAAAGTTGTGACTGGAACTTCGCGATATCATAATTTGCTTTCTGAATTTCCTGAAATTATTAAACCACCAGGCACACCGCGTACACCTAAACACAATACAGTACATCACATTCGCACAACACCTGGCCCCCCTGTGTCATGTTCACCCCGCAGGTTGGCCCCCGACAAATTAAGGATTGCAAAGGCTGAGTTCGACGCAATGTTGGCAGATGGCACAGCTCGTCCATCAAAGTCGCCATGGTCGTCACCACTACACCTGGCACCTAAAAAAGATAACGGCTGGAGGCCTTGTGGTGACTATAGGCTACTCAACGCCAGAACTATACCAGATAAGTACCCGATACGCCACATACATGATTTCTCTCATAGCCTGTCTGGTTGTACTGTCTTCTCTACCATTGATTTGGTCAAGGCATATAATCAGGTGCCAGTGCACGAGGAGGATATCATAAAGACGGCGATCACTACACCCTTCGGACTCTTCGAGTTTCCATACATGACATTTGGTTTACGCAATGCAGGCCAAACCTTCCAGAGATTTGTTGATGAAATGACCCGAGACCTAGAATTCTGCTACCCATACTTGGACGATTTCCTCATCTTCTCAAAATCAGAAGCCCAGCACGAAGATCACCTCCGACAGGTCTTCTCCAGAATGCGAGACTACGGTATGGTGATCAACACTTCAAAATGCGTTTTTGGGGCGTCCGAAGTCACATTTCTAGGGTACCATATTTCACAACACGGAACCAGGCCTCTGGAAGGTAAGGTCCAGGCTATCAAGGAATTTCCACAACCTCAGACAGCCAAGCAGTTGAGGCGATTTTTGGGGATGATTAATTTCTATAGGAGATTTATACCACAAGCTGCCCAGATCCAATCTCCCCTGAACGCCTTGCTGACTGGGTCTATCAAAGCCTCTCAACCAATTGTCATGGATGGAGACGCAATAAGAGCTTTCGAGGAGTGCAAGTCAAGTCTCTGCAACGCAGCAATGCTAGCTCACCCGGACTCCAAGGCTAAACTCGGACTGTTTACTGATGCTTCTGATGAAGCCATGGGAGGAGTAGTACAACAGTTGCAGGACGGTCATTGGCAACCACTAGCATTTTTCTCACGCAAGTTGAGCCCGGCACAAAAGAAATACTCAGCATACGACCGAGAGCTCCTTGCAATATATGAGAATATAAAATATTTTCGCCACTGGTTCGAGGCTTCTCAATTTACCATATACACGGACCACAAACCTCTCTGTTTTGCATTTCGTGAACGCAAAACCAACTGCACTCCGCGTCAGTACAGGTATCTGGACTACATTTCTCAATTTTCTACAGACATCCAGCACATCTCCGGGAAAGATAATACAGTAGCTGATACTCTTTCTCGTGTAGATGAAGTAACTGAACCGGTAAGTTTTGAGAAATTGGCCAAATTGCAGAAGTCAGATCCAGAATTATCTCATTACATCAATGAGGAGTCTTCCCTGCGCATAAAGAAAATGAAAATACCTGGGAGTTGCGTAGAATTGTACTGCGATGTCAGCACATCAACCCCCAGGCCATTCGTACCCAAACCCATGCGTAAACAAATCTTCGACAGTTTGCATACTCTTTGCCATCCTGGAGCCAACGCCAGCGCCAAACTTGTAGCCCAGCGATACGTTTGGCCACAGATAAGGAAAGATTGCCGAGAATGGTCTATGTCATGTTTAGCCTGCCAGCGCACTAAGGTAAATCGACATGTTAAATCACCTTTAGGTACCCTCGATTTACCTACAGCGCGATTTAAATATGTACATTTAGACCTCATCGGACCACTACCGCCTTCCAGAGAATATCGGTACTGTTTGACAGCGGTCGATCGTTTTACACGATGGGCTGAGGCTGTCCCTATTACCGACATTACAGCGGAATCTGTGGTCAATGCGTTCCTCCTTGGATGGGTTGCTCGTTTCGGCTGCCCTACCGACGTCGTAACCGACCGTGGCAGGCAATTTGAGAGTGCAACATTTCAACAACTGTCGAAAACATTAGGTTTCAGACACCGCAGAACCACTGCATACCACCCACAGTGCAATGGCCTAGTTGAAAGATTTCATCGTCAACTAAAAGCCGCCATTATGTGTCACAGTGATAGCAGTTGGTCCGAAGCGTTGCCTATAGTACTACTTGGCATACGAAGTTCTTTTAAGGAAGACCTACAAGCAACATCGGCAGAACTTGTTTATGGTGAGCCCTTAAGACTACCAGGGGAATTTTTAGGCTCTAATGTTGACAAATGCACCCCTGATTTGACAGATTTCGTATCACGAATCAGATCATTTGCCAACAACCTACAGCCAGTACCCACATCAAACCACTCAACTAAAAAAGTTTTTATTTACAAAGACCTTTCCTCTTGTTCTCATATCTTTCTCCGTGAAGATGCCTTGAGAAGTTCTTTACAACCAGCTTACTCAGGCCCATACGAGGTGTTAGACAGAGGACAAAAGGTTTACAAAATTCGTGTCAAAGGTAAAGAAGTCACAGTTTCGGTAGACAGACTGAAGCCAGCCTACATCATGACCGAACAATGTAACACAACAGCCACAGAACCCAGTAGTGCCACTCCAGCGGTTAGAACAACGCGCTCTGGTCGTCAAGTCCGTTTTCCGGATTTTTATCGACCTTAGGCAAGGTCTCTCGAGGGGGAGTGATGTGGGGAACTCACATAACATTTATAATATTTACATACAAACACATTATATATTTATAGTACATTACCACTAAAGGTTCACGGGGGAGGATAGAGCTCGTTTCTAAATTGCGTAGCTAGGGACGTAGGCGCACATTAGCGACGTGTCGGGGTAATCACGGTTAACGCCCGGACACAACTTCAAATAGTTATTTTACAAAACCTTTTAGTGATATAGTTATATCGTATTTAATTTATCAATGTTTATTTAATCAGTAATCGATTACATAAGCATTGAAAGCGGTAATAATATCGGATTAATTTATACGAGCAAATTTGTTCTGAAATCGGGAGCGCGGACACGTCGTGGTAATCAATTTTTGACGACTTACGATTTTTTTTAAATTACTTAATTAACTATTATTAACTATCTCTGTGGTTTAACAACAAGAACCAAAGTTATACTATTAGATAAAAATATTTGTTACTGAAATATTATGATATTCGGGTACTTTTTGGCCCCGGACACGTGATTTTCTTGGCCGGTAGAATGACCCTTATCCTTATAGTACTATGCGACTTTATAACTTTTGTTATGATTATTAGTAAATATTAATTATGACAGAAGATTTTATTTTTTGTTTCTTTTCTTACCAAAATAAGCGGTACTAAATTCTAATATTGATTGTTGTGCATAAAAGTAGGTATATTAGATTAAAAAAACTTGTGTTTTAATGAAATTTCAACCGATTTCAGCAGTTTTCATTAAAAGACTCGAGACCCGAGAAAACTCGAGACTTTGGCCTCGAGAATTCTCGAAACTCGAGAAAAAAAATAAGTCGAGAAATCAGAAACCCTAAGTACATTACATAAATTATGATAATATCAATAGCATTATAATATATTTACAAACACACTTGATAAACAGTAACATAAATACACTACACATATATTTTAATAACAAACATAAATAAATACCTAATACATATTATATTCTAAATAAATAACTTACACAAACAAATAGACTACGCGTATTGTGTTAGATATTGCATATTTACGGCGCGCGGCTCGTCGGAGAACCGGTTTGCTATTCCACCGCTACTTACATGCGCAGGCCGCCCAGCGCGCCAGTCACGACTTTTGCTATCTACGCGAGACCCGTGCGGCTCGCGACGACCGCTAACTGATAACGTAGTACGAACTGTGTAACGATCTTTTTATTCGATCAATCTTACTTTATACTTGTGTCACATAATATAACTGAAGTGCTCTGTTTCTCCTTCGTAAATTGATTGTGGAAAGTAATAAATAATTTCGTTTGAAACGAACGGACTTCATCATTTGTTCAACGAACAACATACCCACAAATCTATACTCTTATCTATAAAAACGAAAGGTCACTGACTTATTGACTGACTGACAAATTAATGAGGATATCCGTAAACGAACTTAAGTCGCTGACATAGCCCGACGGATACAAGCTGAAGTGGCAATGGGCAGGGCACATAGTACGCAGAACTGACGGCCGATGGGGCAGCAAGGTTCTGGAGTGACATGCAATAAATAATTTGAATTCGGAGTGGAGGCCGCGTACCGGAAAACGCAGCGTGGGACGTCCACCCACAAGGTGGACCGATAACATCATAAAGGTAGCAGGAAGGCGCTGGACGCAGGTCGCTACCAACGAGGCAACATGGAAAGCATTGGGAAAGGGGCCTATGTCCTATGGCTGAGATGATGATGATGATGATAATGACTTACACTTTAAAACTCAGCGATAAGGTGTTTCAGAATCAGCGTCTCGTATAAAACTCACTGGCCGACTAGCGAATTCACTTACGCATGCGGCATGACGCGTCATTGTGCAGGCACAGTGGTGCAGGTGTGAGTGTTGTGCGACGAAGTGCGGGTTCGTTCAATCAAAACTTCGCTTGTTTTGCATCCATGTTGCATTCAATAGATATTTTGGTTTATGATTTTATGATAAAATTTTTGGGGTAAGAATATTCGAAAAAACCGTATTTCAAAGTAAAAATCCGGATTTTTTTAAAGCCTCAATATCCGGATTTTTCAGATATTTTCGAATTTCGAATAATCCGGATTGCAATCTCTACGCAATGAGAACTGACGGACGATAGGGCAGCAAGGTACTGGAGTGAAGGCCGCGTGGGACGTCCACCCACAAGGTGGACCGACGAAATCATAAAGGTAACAGAAAGGCGTTGGACGCCCCAATCGATCAACATGAAAATCATTGAGGGAGGTCTATGTTCAGCTGTGGACGTCCGATGGCTGAAATGATGATGATGATGATGAAACAAAAAGTACAAAAACTTACGTAAAGAAGCAAGAATCCGCCATCGCGCAAGGTATACCTTGCAGATCCCTCCAGGAGACCATAGGTACAACCCAAACACCAGGCAGAGCAGCAGTAGGGCAGGGGGGAATGACGCAGTCCTGGGTGCTTGCGTAGTCCAGGGTGTAAGGCCAGAGACCAGGGTCGAGGGAAGTGATCGTCGGCCACGAGCAGTCGTAGGTGAGACTAGTCTCTTTGATGACTTGGAAGGTGGCGTTCCCGCTCAGTTGCAGGAATGGGCTTCGGATGCCTGAATAAATAAACAAAAAATGCAAAATCAACACACACACACATTTATAAAGCAGACTCTATAGACCTGATTAGGATTACGATTTCAGAGAGTATATTTTTGTTGTATTCTCTTAAATGAACGTTGACGTAACTTAACAACTAACCCATCAAAATCTAAGCGGTCTAGCGACCCATCGCAGCTTCGCACAGATGCTGAGTATACATAATAACACTACCTATTAAAAAAAAACCGCATCAAAATCCGTTGCGTAAGAGTAGGCGCACACCGTTTTCGTCGGCCGATAGTTTAGTCGGGCTGTTGATCAGTATGGGCATGTATGGGAGTGCGCACACTACGCCGATTCGATTTGGCCGATTCTTCATACAATTTGAAATCGGGCACAACTATCGGCCAACTAAAAATCAACGGTGTGCGCCTACTCTAAAGATCAAAGCATACATAGGGACAGACAGCAAAAAGCGACTTTGTTTTATACTATGCAGTGATCAGGCTTACCATGGATAGCGTCTTGAGGAATATTGGCAAATTGCGCCATCTGCTCGATCTGGTCTCCGAATTCTTGCCTCATGTCTTCAAGGCCAGCTTCATGCCACCAGGTCTGGGGCGTCCTATGACTGATGGAGTGGAGAGCGATCTCAAAACCTTGGTTGTACAGTTCATTGACAATCTGGTAGTTTGTATACTCGTGATTGACGTAGAATGTGGTGCCAACTGGGCAGCCGTTGCTGTTCCTACGGTCGTATAGAACTTCACGGTAGGTTTCAATGTTGATGACGTTGACTGCGTCGTCGAAGGTCACCATCACGAACTGAAATGCAGTTTTGATTTTAAGGGCATTCAAGAAAATAAAAGTGTAAAAGACATGATGGATATATTTTTAGTAGGAATTAAAGTAAACGCAGATTTATCATTCTAATAGGTACAGAAAACAGATTAGTTATTAACTACAGCCAACTAACGCTTGGTGATTATTAAAAAGAAGAATAATTAAATGATTAGATTGATTTCAAATTGCATAGTCGGATTATTGTGCCATTTAAGTTATAACTTGGTATATCAGAGATATAATATAAATATTTTAGGTTAAAGATAAATGAAAGATTTTCTACAAAGATATTATTTATGATTTACCTGTGGGGTATCCCTTGGAGCTAAGTTCCCAGGGATGTCTGTGGATGCACACCGACATTCTGGCAACTGGCAGGTCTGCGGATCACATGGTTCTGCCAAATCAAGTTCTTCTTCAGAATTCTGGGCGAGAGCCACTGCAGCCAAGAGTAAAACCCAACACCAGCGCATTTTGGCTTGATCCTTGCGACACTGTTCTAAAAATTCGTTCCTTGGCTGTATAAATATCGCATGATTTTAATCTTTATTATCAATATTATAATCAATGTCCCTTACTAAGGTATCTGGTGCATTTATTGTTGTATGCGCTTTTTTGCATTTATCTTATCATTTTACAAAAAAAATGTGTAATTAGGGGTTTTTTTGCAATTTAGACTTCAGAATTATCTATACTTATAATAAATCTGTAAAGAGGTCAATTCTGTACATGAAATATATTTTCAAAATAACTATCAGGGGGCGATTAGTGATCGATACTGATGCCAAAAATGCAATCGGTAAAATTTTTGTCTGTCTGTCTGTATGTTCCTTATAGAAACGAAAACTACTCGACGGATTTCAACGAATACTCCATACTCCATACTTCTTCAACATACTCCTGGGCAGGTTATAGTATCTTAGGAATTCCCACGAGAACGGGAATTAGCGGGAAAATTCTTTTGTATAAAAAATCTAAACCGCTTAAGTTAGACGCTTGAAATTTGGCATGCAGGTACCTTAGTAAACTTAAAGCTTAGTTACAACAGGATATTGCAAAATTCCCTCGGGAACGGGAGTTAGCGGGAAAAACATTTGTATGAAAAAATCTTAATTGCGTAAGATAGATGAAGGGGGTAAAACGGGATCCACGCGTACGAAGTCGCGGGTGGCCGCAAGTTAGTACTAAAACGACGTGTGAGAGTTTTGAAATTACGAGTAGGTAATATACCGTCAATTTCTGTACTTACAATTCAAAAATGATGCCATAAATTTTAAATTAGCGAAAAGTGAAAACTCTTAGGCTTGTGTAAGACTTATTATTTTTATGCTACCTACTTGTATTATAATTCAAGCTGTATTATTCCTACACCTTAGTCCAGCTGGACGTCTGTGGTGAAAATAGTGTCATAGCTTACGAGTGAATTCTATCATCATCGGTTGCCCAACATCCTGATGCGTGCGCTTGATATTATTCTGTAGCTCGACTTTCGCCTGGCGCGGCAACCACATAAAAAGCCTAACAAAAGCCGGACAGGCCGGACAAGACAATTTTAGGCCAGACATGACCGTAAAAAGCCAAACATGTCTGGCTAAAGCCGGACACCTGGCAACCCTAGGATCTTATCATCTGGAAAAAAGATCTTATTAGCAGATGGGGGCCTCATCAGTCACTGGGCCTTGGGCACGTGCCCAAAGTGCCCAGTGGGAAAGAGGGGCCTGGGCATATTACGGGACCATTTCCACCTGTCGTTCCCACCGCTGCAACTCCTGTGTAGCCTACAGCTTGACCGTCACAAAAACCCAACCAATGAAGATCAAGTTTGTCCTGGGAGAAAGTTAAAACTGTCATTGGACCCGCATCGAAATTATCAGAAGAACATAGGAGGATTTCGAAGTTAAGGCACAGAACAATAATAAGTACGTTAAGGTTCGATTTCTCTCCATTGCAAAGCGCATGACAGGTGACAAATGTTTAATAAGGTTATTAAACCTTAAGATGTGCACCACGGACAATAAATTACTGGGTATTGCTGTGGTATTACCTACTAATAAGTATTCCTTGATTTTTATAAATTAATAAGTATTCAAAGTTTTATGTAAGTACCTCAATAATTATGAAATTAATGTCCGTCTCAATTCACTTTTTGATATGGTTATCTACGTTACGATGACATAAAATATTATGTAGATGGAATATGGCATTAAGTCCGCCACTGTACATATGTAAGTGCAAAAGTGTAAATAAATAAATAAATATAAAATTCTATCAATGACAATTTCCTTTGGTCCTACGCTGCCCACAGTCGTGCTTTCTGCCACCTGCATAGTAGGTAGGTCCACCGAGTAGGAGGCCTGCCTACTGCGTCTTCCAGTCAATGGTTGCCACTCGAGAACTTTTCCACCAAGGTGACATAACACTTGAATTGGTTTACAGATTAGCAACATCACTGAACTTCAGAGTCTGAAGTTCAGATTAGTTATTTCTTTTTTGCTATGACAACGTTCGTACGTTTTTATGTAAGAACTAGCTTATGCTCCACCCACCTATATCTACGTAGGGCACATCATTCTTCAACCCGAGCGAAGGTAGCAGGAAGGCGCTGGACGCAGACCGCTACCAACCGGGCAGCATGGAAAGCATTGGGGGAGCCCTATGTTCAGCAGTGGACGTCCTATGGCTGAGAAGATGATGATGATGATGAAAGGTCACTGTCCCTACTCTAAATAGCTGAAGTCACGACGATGCGTGTGACAGAGATTGGAGCTTATTGAGATGTTTCTAGCTTTGTAGATGGTGTTGTAATAATTCTGCCATAGTTTGTTAGATCTAATGTACCGTACCTAGAAAATAAACGATGTCGTTTTATTTTATTTTATTTCTTTTTACTATAAAATGACCAATTTCCTATACAATATTATTGTAAGTACCTAAATTATAATAAGTTGTTGTAACCAGTCCACTTAAATTCGTACTGATACCTAATTTCTACATTTTATTCTTCAGAAATAATGATGATTGTCGAAGTACGAACGGTTGGAAATATCGGTTTTATTTTCAAGATTAGAAAAGTGTGAACTATCTACTTCTTATATTTTAAGGTTTTCAGTTAAATCTGGGAAAAAGAAAATCATTGTCAATTTGCAGTTTATTTCAAAATCGGGGTAATAAGTCTGAGGCCAAAAAGGAAAACAAAATAATTAAATTACATTATTATTTTGTAATAAATAGTTTTACTTAATTATATACTAGATAGAATTACAGTCCAAGGGGGTTGCCCAACCATGGGTAGGTGTTTGGGCAACTGCTGCACACCGTCATCCAGTATTGCATCTGTAAAAAAATGAAAGTGTTATTAATAAGAGTAAAAACAAAGGAAGAAAGTAAAATAACTATAGACTCATTTGTGCTAACAATAAACCGCCACATCTCTTGGAACCCTAAAGGTTCGACCAAACCAACGCGTGCAGCCAGCGTGAGTGATGGCGATGGCGATCAGAAGTGTATGAATTTGTAGCTATGAGTTCAGATCAACGCGTCCTGTCATTGGTCGCGGCGATCTATGCACACGCGATATCGCCGACACGAGGTGCACGCATTGGTTTGGCCGAAGCTGTGGTAGAGTCACTGATACTTGAAAGGATATTTAACTTCAAGAACTCAAGTTATTAAATCAAGAGATACCTTTAACTGGATTAAAAAAGTGCAAGTCTTAAATCTTGTGGTATCAGCCGAGACAAAGGATGATGGGCAAAAATGTATGGAAAGTGGTACCCGCTCCAATAGCCATAACCAATATATATTTTAAAAGGCCTTTAGATGTAGGAAAATGTCTGCTATGGGGCCAGTTCTAATTCACGTTTTGAAAGCAGTAATTCCACTAAGTATTATAATGAAAGTATAACACAATCATCCATGTATACGAGTATGTATTATGACTACAATCTATTAATATAACTAAAAGAAGCATTGAAAAGGAAAGGATTATATCTACGATGAACTACCCAAGCTATTAGCCCTTTATTCGCTTTCATCATCATCATCTTGATCATTTTAGCCATAGGACGTCCATTTGAACATAGGCCTCCCCCAATGATTTCCACAATGGCCGGTTGGTGGCGGCCTGCATCCAGCGCCTTCCCGCTACCTTTATGAGGTCGTCGGTCCATCTTGTGGGTGGACTTATTGGGTCTTGTGGGTTAATTCGCTTTAGCAACCCATAATAAAACCCTTAAGAAGTAATAAAACTTTAACCCCTTTATTAATAAAAGTTACACCCTAGTCGAACTCTGGCTTAATTGTCATTTGGTGTCAATCCAAGGTTCTTCCTAGGTGTAACTTTTTATTAATAAGGGGGTAGTACTTCTTTAAATAAAAATATTTATTTCACAATTATCCCCATCAATAATTATAGAGTTAAGGAAGGATGCTGGAGCAGTAAACCCTTCCTGCCTCGCATAACCTAAGTACCATACGATGGACACGTATGATACTTCTTCTTCTTCTTCCTCGGTCCCAGGATCGTGACCACAGATAGTGTTCCTCCACAGGCTGCGGTCATAAGCTGTGTGGACCGCACGATGCAAACTCCCGCCCACCGTCTTCCTCACCGCGTCCGACCATATTATTATCGTCAGTGCCCTGCCCCGAGCGCGTCCCCCTTCATACTGTATGATACTTAGGTTACACAAAAAGTATCTTTATCTTCGAACGCAACCAGATCTGAGGCTGGTGGTCATAGTAAAAGTTGTTCATCTTGGTAAGACCTTTCAAACGATACTAGACACATATCTATTGGAGCCGGGTACCAATTTGCCCATTGTCCTTTAAATGTCTTCCAATGTACGGATATACTTGTGATAGGGAGTCATGGTCAAAATGACGTGTTTCCAATCTAGTTATTTATAGATAAAATTATTGTACCTAATTGTACGGATTATAATCAAATTTATTTTATCGATGAAAAAGAACCGTTATCTAAAGAATAGTGATCTCGAATAATCGACGATATTTTAATTTAATATCTTAATCTCCATATTATTATTACTTAGTGCAATAGCTACCTCTTCGCTAAATTGTTTAAGTGTCGTAATTTTTCTTACGAATTCATTGACGATTGCTGCTCTTTCAGGTATTGTAGTGATAAGCTTGAGTTTTATTTACTGACTTCTTCTTCTTGTTGTGTCGACAACAAAAGTACACAGCGTCAGCCAAAAACTCCGCCACAAGAATGGCGTTGTCAGTAGCCTAAATTTAAATCTTCCTGCGTGCAGTTGTTTGGGCACGCAGGGCACGACATCATGTACTTCGTCGATTGGGGATTTATTTTGGGAGTTTACTGACTAATACTTCATTACTATATTATGCAATAAAGGGGATATAGAGATTTGACTTTATTATTCTATCTGAATATTAATTCTGAAGAACGGTTCTATTCCGTAAGATGTGTGTGAGACCCACTTAATTTATGAATACGAAACTAACCTTGCTGTAACTATGCTAAAGAAA